TTGTGTAAGAGTCTGGCCTCTATGTAAGTTTTAAAGTTAAATTAGTGCAGCACTGTGTGAATTGGTGCACCAAAATCCGGGTTGTTAGATGAGTATTAGTTGACTTTGTTCTACAATAGCAGAGTAAAATGGATTATTTATACACCAATAGGATTAGATGGGATTAAAAGTCCATGAAGTCCCAGGTGCTGTGTCCATCATAGGCCCGTCAGATGCTTAAGGAAGTAGGGTATAAAGGAGGACAGCAGTACAACAGTGTTTCCCTAAATTTTTATTTCACTAGTATGGCCAATAGCCACTGATAGACTTGTCCTCCATGAATGTGCTTAATTTAAAATAAACAAGTTTAAAACAAAAAACAAACATGGCCCCGGTCACACGGGCCAGATCACGCCGGGGGGAGGCGTGGCTATTTGCCCGGAGCAAAATAAAGTGCGGTAGCCCAATCACACGGTCCCCTGAGTGTTCGCACTTCGGCCGTTAGCTGGCAATCACATGGTGATGCTGGAGCATGGCAAAGAAGCAGCGTGGCAAGCATTTCACATTTGTGCACATGCGCAGTTCTGCGGAGCAGCACCGCTTTCAGTTATGTGTTTGTGCACATGCACTTATGGAAAACATCTGGTTTGCGACAGGACGTGAACCGGTTTGCGACGGGATGTGGACGGGCACGGGATGCCATGGGATACTAGCATTCCCATGATCAGACGCCCGACCCTGCCCCGCATTTTCCGGATACTAGTGCACTTTCCGAGGTACGTTTTTACTGCGTATCTTCGGCGGGACGCCACGGGTTGGCCTCAGATGCATTACACTTCCCAGATGTTGCAGTGTGATCACGCACCAAAAATCTGCCTGACATTCATGTCTTTAGCACGACAACTTCTCCGCGTGAACGGGGCCCATGGTATGCTAGTGGCTATAATCATGTTTTGTACTAATAATTTTGTTTGGGGGGGGGAATTCCTTTGTTTTTCTTAAGTAATGATGGGCGCTCCCCTTTCCCCAGGTTTCCTCAGGACATACTGACCTTTTGAAGGACAAATAACCCACTAGCTTATGTTACCTGAGCTCATTCTGAGCAGGACTCTCTCAGTTCCCTTCACAAATCAAAGAAATCCCTCTGACTAAGCAAAGCGAAGTCTCCCACCAGATGAAAGATAAACCATGATTCACTTGATCCTCTACTTTTCTTCCAGTCTGCATGTCTACTAAAAACTAAATTCTGTTGTGTTCAGTGAGGCTTCCTCCCAGTATTTAGGCCTCCTCAAACGCTTGCCCATTCAGCTCATGTCCTGCTTACCGGTCACAAATAGGGAGCTGATTTTTCAATGAGCAGTTCAACAATCTGTTGCCTCATTCATGGCAGTTTGGCAGATCACTTCTGTATATTCCTTCCTAACAATGCAAGACAGTGCAATTGGCTTTTTGTGCATGAGCATGCTCAGACAGCCTGATCAAGCTCTACTACCCCGTCTCTGCTATGTAAATGTAACTCAATAGGCAGGTGCTTAAAGAGACCTTTAAATCCGTCACAAATCATATAAATCGGTCATAAATAAATGCTGTGTTCATGTTCATCTAAGTAGTCCCTTCATGTTCATCTAAGTAGTCCCTAGTGACGGTAATGACTGTCAATCAGTTTGAATCAAGCAGCATCTTTGCACACGTGCAGTTTTGCAAAACCCTGTTCAGCAGGCATTTGCGGCTCCTCAGCATGAACTAAACAGGATGGGTGGTCAGTTCATATCTGACTGGCACATTCGAACGCAGCAAGTTTGACTGTCCAACACATTCATGATGAAATCTGCAGCATCTCTAGTTTGACTGCTGTGTCTTTCTGCTAACTACCAGCCTGCATGGATTAGAAAATCTTTAGGGTCTGTACCAGCCTGCATGGATTAGAAAATCTTTGGGGCTAGGTAATACAAAGGGTTCCAACATAGACCAGGCACAATCAGTCATCTAGGAAAAACACACTAAATGAAGAGTGGTGGCTTTAAAATTATGAACATAAGAGCTTTGGTGTCAGTGAAAGTCTCATTGTAATACTTCTGTGGAAAATGAGTACAGCTGAGCCAGAATTCAAGACACAGAATTGCAAAGTTGGGCAGCACTGACTCTGCCGACAACAAAGATATGCTGTTGCATCAAGCACCCTAAGTAAATGTTCAGTGCTTTTAATTTTGTACTGATAACTTGCTTGGGAAATGTAGGATATGACTTCAGCATTCCCATCTTCTCTTCTACCGGAAAGCAGTAATCATCAACACCCAAATGGCCAGTGTTAGCCACTAGCCACCTATTGTTTTTGTAGAAGGATCTTTGAATGGGTTTTTTTCCCCTTCCCTATTAATTTGGCTAGCAAAAAAAGGGCTTAAATTTAATGTTGTTTGAATTAAGTAGTAAGTAGGTAATCAAATCAGCATGGTTTAATGGCTATATCTGCCAGTAATGGATCTCTTTTAAAGAAATTAGCTACCAAATATAAATGGAAATTATGATTAAAAACTGAGTATTTGAATCAGGATTGCCTTGTTGCTAAATCATGATTAAAACTCATGATGTAAATCAGAGTGATTTAAATGTATTCGGCCGGCATCTAAGATTATCTGAGGAATGCTAATTAGATTTGGAGGCTCTGAGATACTGTAAGAGGGAATGATAATAGAGACCCACAGAACATTGATTGCATAGGTACTATAATTAGGGTTTTGTTTTAAAGGAAACAATAGAAATGACTCACTGGGTCTAAGCAGGTTAGAAATAATTGAGACAATTTGCAGGAAATGTACATCTTGGACTGAGTACGGGTGGCAGAATATGGCCTTTCCTAATCAGAAGCATTTAATACAGAAGAAAACCATGACAACAGCTGGAGAAGGTTCAAGGAACCAATTCACTGAAAGAATAAGAGCCACAGGAACACTTTAAATACCAAAAGCGTAAAACTTACAGAAAGTTATTGCTTGCATTTCCTTTTGTAAGACTCTTGTCCACTCCATTCTTTTTTGTGAGTTTCATAATAAACTGGTTAGTGCAGTGACTACTAAACTGTGTACCGCCAAAAAAAAATCACACACCTTGAAAAATTGTGCCACCGCGTTGGATGTGTCCGCCATTTTGTATTCATTGCCTCACACAGTATTGAACCCTTGGTCACCAATACAGGAGCAGTAACACTGCCCTGAAAGACTGTAAGTCTCATGTATGGCATGAGGTGAAGGAACATGATGCAGTAAGTTTGCTGAAACGAACCAGGTTCAGGTGTAAATCCTATGAAAGCCACCTTGAGAGTTCCCTGGTGAATAAAATGTCTACTGTCATTTCACAGTTAAAACAAAGGATACCCTTGTGTATTTCTGCCACCTTTATTCTCTAATGAAGCATCATTGTCTGAATCCTCCCCACTGACACACAGTGGTACTTATGTGAAAAGGATTGGCCCATTTTAGTTCCATCATTCATTCAGGTTTATATTTCAAATATTTATTTCAACTGATTAATAATGTGTTTTATCAAACCATTGGTCAACACCATGATTCATAGGGAATTGAAAGAAAGACACAATTCAACGAGTTCAAAGATTTTAAACAGAAATACTATGCAAATAGAGTGGAAGAGCTGTAAACACTGCGTGTAAAGTGCCATAGAGTCACAAATGACTTACTGTGAGCCCAGCAAAGGGCTTTTCAGGCAAGGGAGAAGCAGAGGTGTTTTGTCATTACCTTCCTCTGCAGAGCCTTCCTTGGTGGTCTCCCTTCCAAGTACCGACCCTGCTACATTTCTGAGATCTGACAATATTGCACTAAAGTGTTCAGCGCATCTTCCATGAGACTCAGATACCCTGACAGCTATGCAGGCTTGTAGTCTACACCTTAAAGGAGTAACAGTTATCAATCCACAATAATAAATGTCTTGTGGGGGAGGAAGCCATGGGAAGTCCCTTTTGTTTCAATGTCCTTGATGCAGTTGATTTTTTTTTAAGTTAATGGGAGAAGCAGAGATCATATCCTTCTTCCCAACCTTAACAATCCCTGTGAACTTCACAGGAACATTGAGGCCCAAGAGTTCTAAGACACAGTTTCTAGGATATTGTTAGTAGTTTCCTAGCAACCACTGTAATAAATGTGAAGTGTTGGTGGTGGTCAGTCTTAAAAACGGGGAAGGGAGTGGGTTTTTTCCCCTCTTGAAGAGAAACTATTCTGCCATCCATTCTAATTTAACCTATGTTACATAGCATAATGATGGATCTGCAGACACAGCTGACATTTCATGACCGTAAAGACCTTGGCCAACTCAGTAGAAGGAAAGGTGGGCCATTAGAATCCCCTGCTAGAATCTGAAGCTCTGTACATACTACACCTGTATTGATTTCCATCACTTGAAGAGCTGGGCCAATTATATACTATCCTTTGCAGAGTTCTTTCTGGTATGATATTCTGAAGAACACCCATTGGCTTTAATTAGATCAGTATTTCATAACATGGCCAAGAAGCTAGTCTAACTAGATAAATGCACAGTGCAGTGGATAAATGGAAACCATGCTGTAGGAGTCCATAGGAGTGGGATGTTCCTTGCTCAGATCCCAACCCCAAACACAACAGGTGATCAGCTGCACCAGCCCCCTTTTGCAACACAGAGATCACACAGTCTATTTCATTGGGCTGTTGTGGCAGCTGCAAAGATAACAAGTGTGAAAGTACTTTGAACATGCTGAGTAAATAATAAATATCATCACTATTTATCATAGCTGTGTTCCTCCAGCCTAGGTCACCCTTCTCCTAGTGGTGTGTTCCAAAGTGTTAAGATGCCAAATCAAATGCATTAGTGAGCAAAATTCAAGCACATGTGTAAATCCTGTTAAAAGTGGCTGGAAGCACATGCTGAAAAGTGGGTTGCAAATGTGCCTGAGGGAGCTCCTTCTTGTAAAAAAAAAAAAAGGACCTCCCATTAATGTTACACATCTGAAAAGAAAGTGCCAATGGTTACTATTTCTTGTGGGATTAAACGGGGAGGGGAACTATTTGAAAAGATCCATGTTTCGGCATAGGAAACCTTTTGCAGCGAAGAGAATAATAATCTCAGTTTATTTGTCTTCCTCTAAATTCACTCATGACTTGAACGGGATGGATTTTCTTCTTAGCCGAACCTTTCCTGACAGCTGCATAGATTTCCTCCGGCTTCTCTCTCTTAATCAAAGGCTTCTTTGCTGGAGCCTTCATCCGCCACATCACCACAGGGTGTCGCGGGCCAGCAGGACTTTGAATCCTGATAATCTTCGTCGAGGCGATATAGGACATCTTCACTGTCTGCACCACGGCATTCATTAAGTTTTTGGCAGCCTGAATGAGTGAAGTCACACTGTCCAGCTGTAACAAGAAGCAGGACTGTTAGCCTTAGAAATCAGGCTAGCTTTAATCAGAAACAAACATTTAAAATGCAGTTGATCTTTGTTTCCCTTTGTACACTAGATGTAAGGAATGAAACAGCATGAACACACAGGGGTCAACAGTAATTTGCAATACTGGAGAACAGAAGCTCGGTTAACAATGTTATGTTTTTGACATCTTACACTCATTATATTCAGACCTAGCAGCAAATTTACAAAATAATATTATACCAGAGAAGTGAGTGTGTTAAGAATGGGAACACTCAGTCAAATATCTTAATGCACATGTCAAAGGCCCTTACAAACAGTATTGCTCTAAATTAGCATCGCAAACAATACAAACAGAATTAGCAACTCCTGCTTGGATTCCCAGTGTAAACTGAGACGTACACAAAACACCATGGAAAGACCAACAGAGATGTGTTAAAATCACATCACAGTTGTCCTAAAGGTACTCTCACTTTAATTTTGCTTACAAGTGAGACTACACTTCTAGCTGATGTATTGTAACTTGTATGGCTTTATATATATGGGTGTGTGGGTGGGTGTTTGTTTTGTTTTATAGTTGTATGTATTTACATTTTGTAGGCTGCATTGGGCATTATGGAAAGGTGAGAAATAAGTATTTTTAAGAAATAGAGTTCCCCCAGGGTCCTTGGGATTTCAAAGCTGTGTAATTTTGGGCTACATTAGATGCTGAGCTAATATGGCATGAAGGCAGAATACAAATGTCTTGAATAAAATAATTAATAAATAAATTCTAGAAAGGAGATGGCCACCTCATTCTAATTGCATGGAGAAAGAGTGGTATAGCACACACACAGGAGAATCCTGGGTACCCAAGGACTAACTCCCTCCCAAATGTGCAGACCAACTGAGATCCAATCAAGAGAAACCAAGTTATCTTGTCATCAATCATCTCGTGAGGGTGACAGGGCAAGTCACTGAGCTTTCGCTAAATGTCCTAGAATTGTAGCCTGGAAAAGGTAAGAAAGGCAAAAGCTTTTTTATGCTGTTGGGATTTCCTCTTTTGGTTGTCTAGGTGCTGCTTCATTCGTTGTGGCCAGCTTCTGAAATGCATTTCATTACGGAGGTAGCTTTGGTAGACTCTTTGTTTGGCAAGTGTATTTTGGACGGCTATCATTGCTTCATTAGCTTTTTGTATTTATCAGTCAAAATTGTTCTGATTTTTATTGGATGTTGCATTTATTGGCTGATAACATTAGCCACTTCGCGTTCAGGAAAGCCAGGAGACAAATCCCTTGCATAAATAAGAACTGAGAAATTGTGAAGCCAAAAAATACAAGAACATTTGTTGTACAGATTGGTTATTGAGTTTCCCAACATGGTTTGTACACCTGTGTTCTTCTACAGGACAAACTGAAAGCACATTCTGTACTTTAATTTCTATACAAATGTTCAGTATTACTTTCCAGTTCCTCTGTGGAAGCTGCCGGGAAATCTGATAACCAGTTGTAGCAAAATCCTCTTACAATGATTGACTTTTCCTTTTCTCCATCTCATTCTACTGTCTGAGCAACAGGACAAAGAAGTCTCACCTCTCAAGTTCGGTTAGGGAATATAGGCATGTGCAGTCAGGCATTTGCACATGCATCCTTAGTAGGATGTCAGTTCCCCAGCTGGCTCTAGTAGTCAGAGTGGCACATATGCAATCTTATTTGTTTTCTATCGTTCCGAACAGTTGTTCTGTAAGGAGGACTGATGAGGGCAGTTGTTGCTTACCTGACAAGGTTACATGTCTGCAGCCCTGGCTGCTATGTGCACACAGGTTGGATTGGGGCCTCCAGCTTGTACCTTTGCTGGCTGCATTTGTGCCTTGTTTCAAGATATGTGGGCATTCCAGGAATGTTCACAGTAAACAGACCGTATTTCTTATCTGCATATGATCATCTTGGTATTGTTGAGATTTATTATTGATATGTATTGATGTTAGGCTTTGTTTACACACTTGGACAGAGGGAAGGGGAGGGAATACTGAAAAGTTTCCCAGCAAAAATGTGAGCGGACTGGAAGAATGAAACCTTTTAAAGTCAAATTATTTCCCACATGGACAGCATAGCCATCTGATCTGTGTCATATTTCATTTTGTGCATGGGCCTCTTGGTGATGTTAAAATTCTTTAGCATTTCTTTCCCTGGGTTATGGATTCCACCTTCAGCTTAGGCTACCTTTGCTGTTGTCATTGGGCACTGGGAAATGGCAGGGGGATAAATGTAATGTAATTCGTATCTGTGACTTGAATGAATAACTTTTAAGCTTCAAAGAGTCACTACACATGGATTTAATTATAAGATTGACAATTTTGATTTAGAAATGCCATGCCATTTTGAATATTTTTAAAGAATACTGTGCTCTGTCGTCGTCCCCCTAGAAATAACACTGATTATTTTTGAGTATTGTGGCTGTATATGAAACAGTCTACAACTTCCTCATGCAATTTATTTCAGAAACAATCAAGGGACAGTATTAAGTCTGCAATCCTGAGGATGTATTCTTAGGAGCAACCCTACTGACTAAAATAGGACTTCTACATAGACCAGCACAGGATCGCTTCCTAAAAAGACTAAGGCTGAATTGTAGTGATATGCTCAAGATATATTTTGAAGTTTTGCTCAAGAAGCAGGACGGTGGGGGGGGGTTGTGTTTTTGCATTGTGACATGAAGTAGTATAATGGTGTCAACTTGATGTAGCAATGGGGGGCACAAGGTTGGCACTTAATGCTGGTGTCAACTTGATGTAGCAATGGGGGGGCACAAAGCTGGTACTTATTGCCACTCTAGTGCTCATTATAGTACATATGAAGCCATTTGTGCCTTAGGGTGGTTTTGCCTTTGATCTGCTAAGTAGAGGATCACCATGGGAAAGGCAAACAGGGACACAGGTTTAACTTGATGCCATGACCAAGTATAGTACATATGAAGCCATTTGTGCCTTGGGGTGGTTTTGCCTTTGATCTGCTGAGTAGAGGATCAAGCAGAAGTGCACCATGGGAAAGGCAAGCAGGGACACAGGTTTAATTTGATGCCATGACCAGGTCCATGGATCTTGCATTGCCACAAACTCCAGGTACAATCCACAGTGTAAGAGAAAGAATGTGTTTTTCTTCTATGTAATAAGAAAGTGTTAACAACCCTTGACCAATTATGAAAACATGAAAAATATCCTAAATGTTTTCTCCTTTTCTATTTCACATACCCGCCCTGAGCCTTGCATTACAGGAGAGCTAGAAATCAAAATAAATAAATAAATAAATACTCTTTTCTCCTTTTATACCCCTTGTGAAGAAATGGCAGCATCAGTACCATCTTTCTCTCATCTCCTAATTCTGCTAAAATATATCCTTACAAACCCCTTTTTAACAGACTTGACCAATCCTTTCATTACAATTATCATGATTGGTCTAAACAAAAGTATTTATTATTAATAAGAACAACATCGGTATATAGCATCGTCAATATGCATGGTACTTTATGTACTACAAGAAAATAAACTCAGTATTTTTGAAAAATGGGACAAGCCCACCATAAATGGAAAAAGGATCATTTTCCCTTATCACATTTCCAGCCAATATCAGAACGCCCTGAAACTTTCACTACCCTCGCAGGAGTCAAATACCAACAATAAAGCATTCCCAAACTGTTCTCTCTAATCCCAATATTTAGTGGCACCTTAAAAACATTATGAAATTCTTTCTCGTACTCCTTCAGTGAAACAAAGAAATCTACGTCACCTTTCCACCTAGTTCTACAGTTCCACTTTATCTAGGAATTGGGTGCATAAGGAAATTGACGTTATTATGCAATGTAATTCTGCACAATTCTTCCTCCTCACTGCGGCTGTCCCATGGCATTTTGCTCTTGAGGGTATTCTGGCCACTGGAATCACTTTGGAAAGGATTACCGGGAGCTGCTGAGGGAGGGATATGGTGGGAATAACGTTCTTCCAAAGAGTGCCTTTGCATCCATAGTATGTGGGATCCAACCCTATTCCCTGAAATCTTATCGGTTGTTTTAGTCAAAGGAGCTAACCAATTATGGAAGAGAAGCATCTTAATAATTTGTTGTTGGGGGCTAATAGACTTTCTAAATGACACTCCATCTATTTGACAGCCAGTGCAGTCCGTTGTTTCTTGTCAACGAAAGAATCTCCCAGCATTGCAGCCAGCAATCCAAAGAATAAAGCTGGTAAGATAGGTCCTGCTTTTAACGTGGTTAGGGATTTTTTAATTATTTGCATGTGCACTGATTCAATTTCTCCATTAGTAGCCTCTAGGGATGGTCACAAACCAGGAAAATGGTGGTTCATGGTTTGTTTGATTATGCGAACCGCAAACTTTCACAAACTTTCCCCACTTCCTAAATCAGTTTGTGGTTCATTCAGGTTGTGAATTCAGGAAGCGGTAAAACAGCCCCCTTGTGAGTTAGAGACACCACACTCAAAGGGAGTCTTCAGCAGGCTCTCCTTCACCTGCCCTCCAAGTTTGGCAAAGATTGGATTTGGGATGTTTGAGTTATAGCCCCCCCAAAGCAGCAGGTGCCCCGAGGAAAGCTCACCTCTAGTCTCCTCTTAAATCAGCCACACAGCAAGCAATTCTTCCTAGCACAGGCTGATTTTGTATTGGCTTTTCCCTCTGTTGTTTTACCAAACCCACATTGGAACAGGAAATGTGCATCTCAAAACCACATTCAAATACCCCAGGGCAATGCTGTACTAACTGCAAAGTCACCCCTGAATGGCCATAAATCTATGCAGAAGGTGCCATAACATCCGATGATCAAAGAAAGTGACAGCAGCATGCAATGCAGAGAGGAATTTCTGTTCCAACGTGGGTGGGTTTGGTATAACACGTGGGTGGGTGTGGTATAACAATGGAGGGAAAAGCCAATACAGAATCACCCACACTTTCACACAATGACTAACTCCTCTCTCTTCCTGCTGCAAAGTGAAAGCCGCTGAGT